AATACTACCTTTGAAAGGCTTACCTTAATGTATTCCTAAAAAAAAAAATAAAGAAAACAGTTAGAAACTATCAAAATATCACTTCTGAAAGGCTTACCTTAATGTATTTCTAAAGAAAGTAAAGAAAAAATAAAGAAAAAAAGATTAAAAACCATCTAAAAGTCCTCTCTGAAAGGCTTACCTTAGTTTCAAAAAAGAGAAATTTCCTAAAAAAGAGTTAAAAACCATCTAAAAGTTACTTCTGATTTGCTTACCTTAATTTCCAAATAAGAATTTACTAAAAAACAAGAATGAAGAAAGGAAAATGTCACAAAAGTCACTTCTGATTCGCTTACCTTAATTCCAAAATAAGAATTTCCTAAAAAATAAGAAAAAAGGAAGGAAAAGATTAAATTTCCGAAAAAAATAAATAAATAAATAAATTTTTTCAGAATATTTCGAAAGTTAATCAGTTTTATATTGTAAACTAAACTAAAATTCAATTAATCTGAAATTTATACTATTTATCAAATGGATGATTTTGCATCATTCGATTGCAAAATCAAATTATTCTAAAGGAACAATAGTTTGATCGTTCCAAATGAACGATATATAAAATCGTTTTATTTGAACGATAATTTGATTGTTTCTTAAGAACGATAATTCAATTAATGATATAGAAAATCATTCTATTGGAACGATAAAAAAATTCATTCTAAAGGAACAATGAAATATCATTCTAATAGAATGATAAAAAAACATTGTTCTTTCGGAATAATAAAGTATTGTTCCAAAAAAACGATAAAAAAATATTGTTCTTTTCAGAATGATGAAGTATTGTTTCTTTAGAGACAATTTCTATCGTCTCTTTGGAACGATTGTTTATTCCTTTTGAGATGTCTCTTTTGGGAACGAATGTATCATTCCTTTTGAGACAATTTTTATCATCTCTTTTGGATACGAATGTATCATTCTGAGATGATTTCTATCGTCTCTTTAGGAATGATATTTCATTCCTTTTGAGATGATTTCTATTGTCTCTTTTGGGGACAAATATATCGTTCCTTTTGAGATAATTTCTATCGTCGCTTTTGGAGACGAATGTATTGTTCCAAGACGATTTCTATCGTCTCTTTGGGAACGATATTTTGTTCCTTTTGAGACGATTTATATAGTCTCTTTTGAAATGAATGTATCATTCATTTAGGAATAATTTCTATTGTCTCTTTTGGACGATTGTATCGTTCCTTTTGAGATGATTTCTATCGTCTCTTTTGGGATGATTATATTATTCCTTTAGAGATAATTGTATTATCTTTTTGAGACGATAACTCTCAGAATGTTTTTATAATTTTCACAAAAATCAGCTCAGCAGATTTCGACCAGTAAAATATAGTTGATTTGTTGCTAAATCTTGAGTCTAACTGAAATTTTGCTGAATATTATAACTGAAAGGTCTTAATGCTGAAATAATACTAAATTATGTGTGATGTAACAAATTACTATCGATTTTTGTAACTTAAGCTGAATTTTTACTGAATTACATGACCGAATCGGCTGAATATTTGACAAAAGATCTAATGCTAAAATAATGCTAAATTATGTGTGATGTAACAAATGACTATTGATTTTTGTAACTTAAGCTGAATTTTACCAAATCATATGACTGAATCAGCTGAATGTTAACTGAATGGTATTAGTGCTAAATGAAATGATTTCGACTAGTGATAAGTGACTGCAATTTATTAAACATCTAAAATAACTATTATTTATATTTATTTGTTTAGTCTGTGATGATATTTTAGCAAACGCTTTTCCATCAGTATTGGTAAGAATAAGTGTTAAAGATCTTAAAAAATCTATTAAGAAGAAAAGCAAATAAGATTTGACTGAATATTAATGCTAAGAATCTAAAGCTATAAAAAGTTCAAAATCTTATCTTATAATAGAATTATTTACTATTAAGATAGGTCACTTTTTAAAAATTAAATTTTATATATAATCTTATCTTATAATTTTCTTAAATTCTATTGGTTAATTAACTAAAAAAAAATCATAATAATATTTGCTTTTATAGTAGAATCTTTAAAAATATATATATATAAACCTTACTTTAAATTTAAGGGTAAGCTATTTCTTTTTGATCTTGTCAAATTTGTTGAAAAAATTTTAAGAAAGAAAAAATATTTTATCGATACTTGAGTCTTATTTATATATATATTTACAAAAAATATATTTTGTTAATAATATTACTGATTTATATAATACAAAAAGTATGTATTATCATTAATTTTGATAATAATACTTTAGTTTATTAAAATATCACTAATTGTATAATATAAAAGGTATATTTTCAATATATATTATCATTAATTTAATAATAATACCCTATAAGAAATTTATATACGAAATTGTATATGGTAATAATACGTTTTAATATTTGTAAAAAATGTATAAAATATATTAAAATTATATATAATATGTATGTAATTATTACGTATACAAAATAAGGAAATTGTCAAAATTACGAATATATAAAATTCGTAAATTACATATATTGTATAAGCTATTTTAGTACATTAAATACATGATAAATATTATAATTTGCTAATTCTGTTACATTATTTTGTAAATCATCATATGTATTAACCCGATTTTGAACAAAAAGACGCTTATATTAGCACTTAAATGAATGAATAATTTTTGCATCACAGGGCTGAAGAATTGTAGTAGTGTTTGGTGGAAGAAACTCAACACGTATATTACTTAACTCATTTTGAGTCTCATCAAGAATTATATGCACCGGTGCATTATCAACTAATAAGAAAATATTCTGATTTCTTTACTTCATTTTGGTATTGAGTTTGAGAAGAATTATATTAAAAATACTAACTTGCATCCATGCTTTTTTATTTCAAAAATAGTGTACAAGAAGATTATCATAATTGAGATTTCGCATTAGACGAGATACTTTATATTAATTAATAAAGGTAAGCTTCATTTTTTCTGTTTCTGCAGCATTTGTAGCATAAAAAATTATAACACAAGCTTTTTCTTTCTTATGATCAGAGATTTGAGAACGTGTCAAAGTTCATGAATGTTCCATTTTCCAAAAAAGTCCAGTTTCATCAGCATTTCAGATATCTTCAAATTCATAATTAAGAAGAAGTTGTTGTAAAGCAGCACGATCATTAGCAATTGATTTTGCAGAAGGTACACTTGCTGCTTCACCTTGCTTTTTAAATTGACGAAGTCTATTTCGTTATTTAAAACCAGTTAACCAACCCTCTGATTGGTTAAAATCATCAATACTTAATCTTTCAGCAAAGAATTTTGCTTTTGTTTTAAGAATTGCACTATCAATATCTAGATTTATTGCTAATGAATTATCGACCTAAAGACTCAGAGCATTTTCTAACTGTGGTTATTTTGGTCCCCAAAATTTTTTATTTTCTCGTTCATTATCCAAAATAGCAAGCTAACAATCCTTTTCCTTTAAAATATCTGTTACTGTTGATTTTCCGATATTGTATTTTTTTGATAATTCAACATTGTTAAGATATGGTTTTTCTTCTTTTTCTCTATAAAGTTCTCATTTTTGTTCAGCAGAAAAACTAGTACGTTTGCGAGTTGACATAATAAAATAACAGACAATTTGCAAGGTTTTGATATGGTAAAAAAAGATAAGAAAAATGTCAAATTATAACTTTATTAATATGGTAAAAAAAATGCTGTAACTTTATTACAAAATAAACTTTATTGTATTAACAATTAATTACAAAGACCATTTGTCTTCGTATACAGTTACTTTAGTAGTTTAATTTTGAAACTGGTTTAAACTAGTTTCTGGTTAATTCTTTAATTTTAACCAATAAAAAAATTTCCATTTTGTTATATAGATATGTAATTTATACTAAATGTTCTAACCAAATTAGGTTTGGATTCAGTATATCAAATTTATTATACTAATCCGGTATATCTAGTGTAAATAAATATAAATTATTTCGTTCTGAAGCTTTTGGTTCAATATAAACAGAGTTCAGTATTTATGGGTTCAGTATAAGAAGAGTCGACTGTATTATATTATCAATACTATTAGCTGTTATCAGTTAATAGTAATGTGTAATGCAATTAATGAATACAGGGAGATGGCATCTGTAGCCTTCATATTATTATATGATTCATATTATTTTTACAATAGAAATAAAAGTGTGTAATTTTTTAAGTGTTGGTATATGGTGAGAAGGGATTTTAACTAGCACAATTCTATGTGAACAAATGGAAACAGTAAAGTACTCTGATCCTATATTTTCTTACTGGTAAAGAGTCTCGAAACTAAATAACCTGTAACCAGCTTAAACTTTGCATCATTATATCTAAGCCTTATCCTTATCATGATATACAATTTCTCACCTGATAAAATCATTTTATCTCGAGAGCGTGCTGAATCTCTAAAGAAAAGCAGTAAAAAACTTCATAAAATTAATTTCAAATACAATAGTCAGAATGATCTCGCATGATCTATAGAGCATGGAAACTAAGCTGAATAAAGGCCTTTATTTAAAAGTATTAGAGGAGTTGCTTATTAAATGAAATTCTCTATAAATATGTCTTACTCCATTAAATGATAGAAAAGAAGAATTAGAAAAGGAATTAGCTTGGCAGAAGCAAGAGGTGGAGATGTTACAGGTACTTTAAAATCTGAATACTCTTCAGTTTTCTTTATTATCGCCTGTCTAGATGCAAAATAATTCACTTTAAAAGTGTATATGAACACGTTTTATGGTGAAGCTAGGAATAGCAGGTTCTCTTTCTTCTTATGAGTATTAGCAGGCAGAATAACATCAGCTAGTCAGTGAAATATCAAGCTTATTGCCAACCTTATTAGAAGCAAAAGGTTTAGTGTAAAATACGGAAATACAGATTCCTTATATCTTATTTGTTCAGAAGAATTCTTTCAAAAATGTGAGTAGACATATGACAGTGGTAATGGGATCTCGAAAGAAGAATATTGGTTTAGAATGGTAAATATCTCTATAGAAGTAATAGAAAGACTTCATGATAAAATTAATGACTTTTTCAGAAATAAGAATGGATCATCTTATCTCAAAATAGTGTATGAGAAAATCTTATTTCCAGTAATATTTACTGGAAAGAAAAAATACTACAGCATTCTACATAGAAGAAAACCCAATTTTAATAATAAGCTTTTTGTTCAAAAGGTTGAGATTATAAAGCAGGAGCAGTCCAAATACTTTTGTGAGGTGGGTAAGAATGTCATAGAAGAATCCATGAGACTGAATAATACTTGTACCTTGCATCAGATTGTGGAAGACGTGCTCAAAGAGACTATATATGATATTTCACAGATAGACTTTAATGGAGTAGTTAAAACTGCTGTGTAGAAGCCCGATAAAAATAACAAGAGTATCTAGTGTTTCATTTCACAAATGTGAGATAAATATACCTGTGAAGAAGTAGATGCCAAACGGTGCATAAAAAAAAGGCCTAACACCCAAGTCTTATCTTTATAAAATTCCAGAAATAGGCAAACACTTTGAGTATATTGTAGTTGAGAATGATTCATCACAGAGGGTAGGGATAAAATGAAGTATCCAGAGATAGTGAGGTGATTAGGTAAAAAGATCAATATCAGCTATTATCTGAAAACCATTGTTGGCTTCTGTGTATAATTTATTAACTATGATGAAATTTTCTAACTATTATATAAAATTATGCTGGAGGCTTTAAAAAAGTTTAAAGATGGTAATAAAGCAGGTGATCATAAAGCGGATGACAGTGAGATGAATGAAGAAAATCTGAATTAAAATGAAGAGGATGAAAACAAAATAGATGAAGATGAGGTATCAAAAATAAAGGATTTCTTAACGCAGAAATCAGCTAAACAGTGGATTAGGAGGTATATTAAAAGTCTATGTAATGGTTTAGAAAAAGATAAAACCATTATATCTCATTTATGAAAAAGGACACGCATTTACGCAAATAAATTATTTGATACTACTTATGCTAACAAGGAAGAACATCTGACAGTAATGCTTATTACCAATCCTTTCTCAATACATTAAAAAGCAAGAAGAATTTATCTGCTTAAAACTTTTATCATTACTTAAAGAATTTTCCGAGGTTGATATAAGGTATAGAGAAAGTATATATAAATTAGTTACTAAAACCAGTAAACGCAAATCAAAAACCATGATAATAGAACAATATTTACTATATTATTCAGATGAGTATAAATTACTAGCCGATTTGTGAAATATATGGTATAAAGTAGTTAGCTTAGAAATTATACGCTATCGAACATTATTAAAGTTATAGAATGATAAAAAAGATAATTTGTCTGAAGCAAATATAGATAAGATCATCAAATTATATGGTTAAGAACTCTTAGCGGAATGTGTCAATTTTAGCTAAGAAAACTTAGCATATTTCTTCTAAAGTTTTTCTTGGCCTATTTTTCAAAAATTTAGCAGTCTCATGATTGATAATCATAGCGTTAAATATATCTGATATTTCTTCCGCTTTAACGATAGTGCACTTTGTTTTTACCATTTGAAATAATGAAATAACATTTTCATTGAATTTAGGATCAGATTTTATGATAGAAATTATTATATCTGCCTCTCTAAGAAAATTAATCATTCTCAAACCAAATAATTGCTGAGAACAGAATTTCTTTAACATGAATGCTACTCATAATCGAATGGTTGATACATCCTTATTCCAAATGATAGAATCTATACTTGGAAATATTCCTCTATTCTGAAATACTTGGAGGAGACTTTCGTGTTTAGCATTCAACAATTATCGTAATAATCCCTCTTCTGTAATAGAAACATTAGATGATTTTTGCTTGATATAATATATATAATCTTTAATGCACTGCATGTGAAATAATATCTAATTCATTTTGGCGTTTGTTTTTATATAGCTATTAAAGAAACAAAATGCTCGCTCAAAATTAGGATTAGTATAAGATACTCCTATTTTTAAAGTGCTAGTATATACAACAAGGTCTACACTACTTCATGATTCTTCTACATTACTAAAGTCATGAGCCTTTTCTGCTGGATCAGATTTACTGTGATATTGCTTGATCCTTAATTCTAGAAAATTGGTTTTGAGAACAAGAACAATTTCTTGCACATCCTTTCTGGGGTGACAGATAAGAGATGCATTTTTCCTGATTTTCAAAAGGTAATGAAGATATCCTTTCTAACCCAATCCTAAAGTTCAGTTAATATAATTTCTTTATTAAATGCTAGGTGAAATATCTTACCTTTCTGAGGCAGATAAGTATTGTGAATAATAGAAAAAGGTATATCCTTGTGAAGGATCTTAATTCATTCAATGTTAAGATCAGTAAGGTTATTTATTATACATGATGATAATGTGTCTAACCTCTTGGATTAATTTATACAATTTTTCTATTGATTGTTCAACCAAATGACTTTATGCCTGAATAATTATAAACACTATTTTATCAAGCCATAAATCATATTGGTTCAAATGACATTTACATTTTTATTATATTTGCAATTATTAGTAATACGATATAAGCTCTCTATCTGACATACTACACTTTTATGATAAGATAGATTTATGTTACCATCAATATCGTCTTATAAGAAATCAAAATAAGGAAATGATACGTTTTTTATAAGGTTTGTATACATAATTAATGATTCTATATCAAAATTCCATATGTTTTA